TTCTATTTGCTAGACATGGTATGGGGCAAGAAGCGGGTCTCCCCCAACGGCGGTAGCTGCTGCTAGGGAAGACCGTTCAGCTGGGGCACTGCCTGTCACGGCTCCTTTCACAGGAAAAGGGTTTCCAGTCATGGAAACACGGTGTTGCGGCTGGTTCTCAGCCAGACAAATTAGCCAATGCAACATTACACAACCCCCCCCCAATATTTTTAATAAAAAGCAACTGGGAAAACACCCAGGGATGAGGGGTTTAATTGTTACTGAAGTATCTCGTTACGCCTCAAAATTCTTCGCAACCTACGTTGTTTGTTTCCTACACAAGCTTTAACAGAATCGCTAACCTTCAGCATTTTAGGAGGCAGACTCCCCCAGCACAGACCCGGGACGTATGTTTACAGTTTCTCCATTGTAAAAGAGAGAGAACATCTGTCAGAGTGTAGGAATTGGTCTAAAGCTGAGGACTAAAACTTGGCAATCTGCAGGGCGCTGTTCTTCCAATTGGTATGAATTTGGAACCAGGTTTAAAGTGTAATTTGCATAAGGCGACTGAATTTCTTAAAACGCTTTTTCAAGAGAAGTCAGAACTTGAAATCTGCATGCTCTTTACTCAGCATAAGCCTTAATTACAAAACAAGTGAAACGCTGTATTGTCGTCCCTTGCACTTCCATTTTAAGATCCCAAGAACTCTCAGAAGCACAAGGTGGGATTTAGGCCACTGAGTAAGGCACTTAAGTAGGCGTCTCCCACGTCAACCGAGTGTCTTGGTTCCGATTACAAACAATGGAGATTTAGGCAACACAGGGAACTATTCAGCTTAACCCAACCCTACATCTGATCAGCTGAATGGCTCTTGAGGTTCTACTGCCTATAACGGCAACCCAGGCGCCCGATGGGCTTGCAATTCCTTCCCTGCTGCCTTCTGTTAGGCAGCGACAGCCCTGGCCTCTCCAGCCACACTCCATCACGACATCTCCTCAGCCCTGGCTGGGCGAGGTCTTCGACAGACGGCGTATCGTTAGAACTGACGTGGAAGTAGTAAATAAGTGTCCACTAGTCCAACACCACTCCCACCTCCCTTAGGGCATCTCACAGCTGGCACGTGGTATGAACTTTCAGAGATGAGCAGCACTCCCGATTTTTAAGTGGCCACTGAAACGTGGTATTCCAAACTTGCTGTCTTAGACAAACAATACTGCTCTTAAATAAGCTTGTTTTCTTTATGCCACTGCCGAGAATACACTGGTTTAAGCACGCAAAGTTAGGGAAAACACCTTGCCACATGCCCCTACAAATGAAAACATCGTGCCCACTTAAACCAAAATAAAAATTAACGAACAATAGCTATAAACAAGATCAGGTGAAACTCATTAAAATAAAGATGGAGGTATTTAAAAAAACCCCAGCACCTTCAACAGAGAACAGAGCTATGTTCTTGCAACAGCATTCACTGTCAACTACCCTGGGCTGTTCAGAGGACAACAGCTTAGCCCAGCGTTGCATAACGGTGAACTATCCTATAGGACGTTTGATTAACCTTCTTACTATTTTTTCTCCACAGACTTACTGCTCCAACAATCACTTAGATAACCTTTATAGTGGGTTTAAGTCCTAAGTCACTGCAAGAAAATGCACTACAGAACACAAACTCATCCACATACATTGCTCAAGAGCTGGTTCTTACTGTTTGCAGTTCTCATTAATATCCATCATTTTACAGTAACACCAAACCACTCATTTGTCAGCCTGTAAATACGGAAACTGCACCAGAGGATGAAGCCAAGGTTCAGGGCAATGCAGATGACAGAGGGCATCCCCCACCACGACTGGAGGAAAGCAGCTCACCTGCTCTGACGTAAATGCTCTTTCAATGGCACAAATCAAAACCAGACAGGCAGTAAGGCCCGACGGCGGTGAAAGGACACTAGGACAAGTAGCCAGGCTGCAGGCCAGGACAAACTGAACTCAGTCCAGCCTCGCTGGCTCGAGCATCAACTGCGAAGATACCGTGGTGCCAACTCGTTCGCATCATCACGGACCAGGACTGGTGAAGTGTTCAGGCACGTGGCCCACGACAAGCTTCGTGGCGCTGCAGTTCACTCCCTGCAGCAACCGAGCTGCGGTCGGACTGCGCGCAGCTTATTTCACGGTACACGTGTACGCCCGGAGGGAACCTGCTGCAGCGTGATTTCCTTGTAACAGGATTTCAGGCGACTTTCTTGCCTTGCAATGGAAGACAACTCTTTCTTCACCTGAATCAACGGTTACTTCAACAACCTAAAACCCTCAGAAAATCTAAGTTTCAGGGGAAAGAGGATTTTCTTCTTTTACTTCCTGTGGGTCACCTATCCTGCCAATCTTTGCAGAAGCCAATAAAGCTAAACCCACCTCCCTCTCCCCAGTGTTCTGATATTTTTTATGAGTACCAAAACCGATAAAGTCTTGTTTAAAAAACCCACACTTTCGTACTTCTAATCTTCGCAGTGAGTGACACAAAGAGGCAGAAGCCAACCCCTCCATTGGCAGCAGAGGAAAGCTTTCTGCAGGAAGCACGTTTTGAGGAGAAATGGCAGCACTGAGGACACGAGACCCTGAAAGTCACGGGGTAGAGAACGAGAGCACAGAAGGGTGTTACACACCCTACGGGTTGTTAGATGCTTGCCCTGCGTGCAACAGAAGGCACACAGTTAAACGAACGGCGGAGGAGACGGTAACAGACTTAACCAGATGGATTATGTGAAGTGTTAGAAAGGAGCAAGAGCTCCATTTCCTCCCCAGAATAGTCAGCTCTGAGAAGAAAAATGGAGAGGAGGTGAATGTGGTTGGCGTGGCAAGCAAAATGAACATTCTTACACATCAGTTTTGGACACACTGGAAAGTGAAATGTGTGCAAAGAGAAAAGGAAAGCATAGTTCATCAAGGGCGGGCTCAGAATGCCAGACAAAGTATTTGAAATTGTTGTCACGGTAAGACAGACAAGAACTTAAATACTTTCAATTCCTGCTTTCTGCCCTCATTTTTCCTTTAAAATAAAATTTTGAGTGCAACACCGAAAACAGGAGACAGCAGACAGAATCAAGTGAGAAAACAGAGCCTTCCCTTCCCCCTGGCTCCTGAATAAAAGCCCTTGGATATTTAAATGGATGTGCTGCCTTCCTGACTCCTTCATTCCTCTCCCTCTAACCTGATGTCTGTATGAGGATCATCCATTCCTCATCTCATCCTCTCTTTCTCACTCCTTCCCTAGCAGCTGGGGATCCCAGGGAAGAAGGAGAACACCTAAAGCATTCAAAAACATGCAGCCTCAAAGTCTACAGAAGCAATCCATCACTCCTGGTTTACTGACTTTTCTGGACACTGCTGTTTCTGTAGTCAGCACTGCCAAACAGAAGTGAGGTGTTCAGGCAGAGTTAGGAGGGACTAAGAAACTGGGGGAAAAAGCATCTGGAGAGGACAAAACCACTTCCTCCTCCCTTATTAATGTGGTTGTTTCTCCCCCTCCCCAGAGACCCACAAGTGGCCGAGCTACAGGGACTGAGATATTGCCAGTTTCAGTAGAAACAGGGATGGGAAAAATGAGATGCATATTTAATTATGAAGTCAGCAGAGTATATGCATTTCACACTTTAAATACAGGCTAGTTCTATACTAGGTTAATGTGTCAAAGCAGTGAAAAAACCCCACTCTCAAACATCTGTAAGGCTAGTCTGAATGTTCCCAGGGTTATTCTAATAAGAACAGTGATATTTATAGGCTGGGATGTCTGAGGAACATCTAAACTAGCTTTGCAAACATACCAACTTCAAGGAAACTGACTACTGATTTGAGGAAATAGATGACAAACCCTCCCCTGAACACTGTGTGTCTCCACAATCCAGAGAGATTCTCCAATCCTAACAGCTGTTCTACTGTACACCCACACGTTTAGCTACCAAGAGAAAAAACACCCCACTTGTAGAACAGTTTAAGCCAGCACTGGTGGTGTTAGTAAGCAAGCAATCTTGCTGTCAAAACATGTTAAAAATTTTCAAGCTGCATTCCTTAAAACCCTAGAATCAAAGCAGCAACAGATAAACTGAGCAAGGCTCAAACTGTGAATAACTGACTGTGACACACAGTGAGTATGAAGTGACATGCAAAGGAAAAAAAAAAGGAAGAAAACGAAAGAAGATACAAACTGAGATTTAGAGACCAGCTTTACGTCCATAGTTTGGATTCTTGAAATTGTTAATAGGGCTCTTGTATATTGGATTTTCTTGCTGAAGTAAAAGAAATGGTCAGTGTCGAATAATTCAACAGGAAAAAAAGAAAAGTAACATTCTCAACTATCACCAGAAAAATCATGCTATATATAAAGAAGTGTTAGCTTTTTTTTTTCAGCAAAGAATTAATTAATTGTCTCAAATGAAACCAAGACTTCCTAAGAGAATACTTTTAAAAAATCTCCTATCAAGCATATGTGGGTGTTGACTTCTGCACAAGTGTAGTGAAGGGTTTTTGATTAGCAGATTCCTAAAATTTCCCAGAGGCAGCAACCCTATAGCCTATGCAAGCCAGTAGACCATGGACTTGTTTTTCCTGCATACTTTTCTGCAGACAAGGGGCTGGGAAGATTTCAACAAACCAGCATCAGCCACGATTTTGTGACCAGTTACTGACATCTCCCAGCTAAACCTGTATGAATATTTACGAGATCTCTTCCATAAGCATAAAGTTTTCTCCTCCATTTTATACAAAAGTGACATAAACATTTTAGTAATATCTTACAAAGTGTGGTAGAACTGCAAAGCTGTACTGTTCTTCACCATCACATTTTCTCTCCAAAGTTTTATTTCAACTGAAGTTACTATTCATTTTTCTAACCCAAGACATACTTCTCAAAGAGGGCTGGGACTTTTTTGTTTGTTTGTTTGGGGTTTCTCGTGGTAACACGTGATAAAGTTGGTTTAATGAGGATATTTCTGTTCCTCCACAGGCCAAAAGGCAGTCTGAAAACAGTTACGGCACGTGAACAAAAATTTCTATTTTTCCTCAACTACTGTAGCTTTTATACAGGTAAAAGCCTCCTGACTTACCGTATCCCACTTGGCGTTCATCTTCTCCTTCTCAAATTTAGCAAATTCTCTTCTGTCATGAATGATCATTAGTAGTTTCCAAATCAATAATAATGCAAGTCCAATAAGAACAATTCCAGCAACCACACCAGCTACAATGGGAATGATGTCAGGGCCGCTGGGGCATTCTAGGCAAGAAAGCAAGGGAAGCATGATTTTACAAAATGGTAAAAATGCGTATCCAGATGTTTTTAACACTTTATTTTGTACTGAGGCCAGTATTTTGAATATCAGAGATATACCACTACTATTTTCCTATCAAATAATGGAAATTTTGGAATGTGTACATCCTGTGACATTCCATCTGATTTTATCCTTCTAATTTGTGTTTAATCTTAGCAATAGAACAATTCATGTCCTGATGATAAAGTCTACACGCTAAGCCCCTAAGCTATTCATCTGGAGTATCAGAGTAAAACAACCAGGAATTGTATTTTAAACATGCAAGAGCTCCAAGTCAAAGGCCGTGCTGGAGGGATACAGCAGCCAGAGTACAAATGCAGGTTAGCAAAGCAGTCCCCACACGCTCTTATCAACAGCCTTACAGGAGAGCCGTGTTCCTGTTTTTACCTCAGATGGCTGTTCTCTCTGTGCATTAGCTACTAACAATAACTAATAACTTTGATTCTGAGAGGGTTTTTTTTTTTAGGATATTTCCTCATCTTGGAAATTGATCTCTGCTGAAGTAACTTTTTTAAAAAAGGCACATCCTTGGATAAAAATATCACGTACTTTCAAAACAAGTGAATTGTGTTTGAAAAGAATAATATAGATGCAGAATGATTTAAGGTGATGGCATAGAAATCATAATCCTACAAAATAAAACCTAACTGTTCTATTAATACAAGATTCTCCATAATCACAAACTGAACCAGGGCTTTTGCAGAGCTCAATGCACAGACGGAAGGAGCCGGAAGCAAACAAATGCAGTTCTTGTGCACTGTCAATAGGAACACTGCTTCCCCGCAAAGTGCAGACTCTTAATCTGGGTAGCTGCCACTGCAGGACTGTGGGAAGTGGGAAGGGACACGACAGGAATTCCTTGGGACCCAGTAAGGAACAAGTGTCTGCTCCACTGAACACAGCTCTACTGAACGGAGCTGGTTTCTTCAGCATTTGTAAGCCACCAAACTGAGGTGGCTCCTGGTGCATGAAGGCTTGATTCAGCTCTTAACTAAGGCAACAGAAGTTTGTCCATGAAGAAAAAGGTCAGATCCCAAAAGTGCAGGGCACGTGCTGACTTGTCCTGAAAGAAGACATGGCTCAAAGTCTCCTTCTATACTTTGGACTACACTTTTAGAAAATGTAAAACATTATGAATGGAAGTGGTATTTATTTGTAAGAGTCACTAACCACTGATCTGTATTAAGTGATCATTGCCCAAATGATCAATTCTGAAAATTCCTGGAGAAGAATACAGCACTAAACCTTTCGACACACAAGGAAGATCTGTGTTTTGTATCAGGCTTACAAAAATCAAGAGATCACACGCTGCTAATGTAAAAAACCCAGAATTTTTACACTGTTAAATGCAACACCCAGTGATGCAAAACAATACTTTTGGTAAATAAAGTGTGAATTACTGATTGAGCTATAGAACTGTTCTCTTTTTTATATCAAAAGACTGAACAAAATCAAGAACAGTTGACTATTAAGGATTAACTAAGCAAAAGGCTTTCAGGTCTATTCTTGACGGTACCTCAGTTAAGTAAAAGCAAAGGCTCCCAGCATGAAATAATTTAAGCAGTTTGCAGCACAGTACACAATTCTGTGTTGGTTTTTTTTTGTGCAAGACTAGTCCCATATTATTAAAAATAAGAAAAAAAAAAAAAGCAACAAAACTCCAGAGACACTGTTGTTTCTAATCTGTAGCACAAGCCCAGACAAAAAAAAGATCATCAAAATTAAGGTATCTAGGACTTGCTACAGGACAGGCAAAATAACTTGTAAAGTACATCAAGTGGAAACACAAAATGCTTTAACAAATACACATATTTGATTAACTTTTTGGTTTTAAAAATAAAAACCTGTTTCTGTCAGTCTAAAGGTTTGAAAAAACTAGATCTAAAGACACTTAAGCTTTTCTAAAACCACTCAAGTTCCAGACATCCAGAACTCCCACCCAGGAATAGGTACTATTTCCAAATGCATCTAACTTGGGCAAATCAACCGTAACTACTCTGTAGTACGCCCCAGCATGAACTAACAACAAAGCCAAAGGGAGAGCAGGCAACATCATGTTCGTACCTGGGGTCTCTACCACGTGGACGTTGGCTTCACCATTTGAGTTGACAGAGTACGTGAAGTAGAACCAGCAGTCATCAACATCCTTCTCTTTGCAATGAGACAACGGATCAGGCTGCCCAGGCTGCGGCAACTTGTCTCGACTTTCTACCTGTGTCATGTTGAAATGCATACATTCCTGAGAACATGTTTCCTTCTTTTCTCCCTTGTCGAAAGCTCTGCATTGAACGCAGTCCCTGTGGAAGCACAAGTCAGAAGAAATGCTTTTTAATGTGCTCACAAAATATTCCTAGCATTTAACTGAAAGAAACATAAAGGAGAAAATGTGGGGGAAAAAGCCCAACAAAACCAACTCTTTTGCCATTAAGGCCAGGAAAAAATAAAGCAAGGCATGTGTGCTGGGTTCAGTCAGGAAAGAGTTAACTCTCTTTACCCTGGCTGCTAGGAAGCTGTTCCTGGATGCAGAGAGCAGCACTGATCAGTTCTTAGCTGGCGCTGGGGAATGTCTGCACCAGTTTGAAGGTCTTTTTCCCCTTCTGATCCTGCAGCTGCGTTCCCAGCTCTCGCGGTCTTGTTACAGGCAGTGCTGGGACACACAGTTCAGGCAGCTGACCCAAACTGACCAAGGGAGTATTTCATTCCATAGAACATCATGCTCGGGGCAGAGGTGAGGAGAGGGGAGCCATTACTCTCTCTCCCTTACTCTCTTGCTCCTTCGCTCCCGTGCACTTGCTGGCACTCTCCCTGACTCCTGCGTTAGCTGCTTTGCTAACTCCTGTGCTGGATCGTTTGTGAGGGAGTGGGTGGTTTTGTTTAGTTTTACCAGTTGTGCTATCGCTGATAGGGTCCGCTCGGAATCTGCTGCGGCAGCGCTCGGGCTGTGACTCTCAGGCTGCGATCACTCTCGGGCTCTCTGGGTCTGACTCTCACTACTCAGCACCTGGTTGTGCACTGATCAGCGGGTGATGAGCAACTGTATCATAATTGTATCATATTGCATCTTATGTTTTACTTTCTATTAACTACCTAGTAGTAGTAGTGTTTGTATATATTAATTTAGATTTAATTAGTAAACAGTTCTTATCTCAATTTTATGAGCTTCCTTATTTCTTTTTCCTCCAATTCTTCCCCTTCACTGGAGGAGGGGTGAGGGGATTTGGAGAGTGGCTCCATGGTATCTGGCTAGCCAGAGTTAAACCACAACAGCACGGCTTTTTAACCAATCAGAAAATGTATGTACTTCTGATGAACAAAAGTCCCCCTTAATAAATT